AGAGAGAGAGAGAGAGAGAGAGAGAGAGAGAGAGAGAGAGAGAGAGAGAGAGAGAGAGAGAGAGAGAGAGAGAGAGAGAGAGAGAGAGACGTTTGTACTTTGCCATCTTCCAGTTTTTCTTTTTGTGATTGTGGGTGATCTATACTAAAATGCTTAGGTTGGGTGTCTGCACTTGCCTGGTGTCTTCACTCTGTGCAGGTTATTTTGTCAGATGCGAATGTACCTGGGGAGGGGGAACACAAGATTATGGCGTACATTCGTCTTCAGAGAAATCTTCCTGGGTTCGACCCAAACACAAGGCATTGTCTGTACGGATTGGTGAGAAATGCTGAAGCGCAAAATCCTTGCCAATTTCCTCCCCTCATCGCTTCCCTCCCTATTGTGTTTTAAACTGTTTTTCATGTCGGTTGCAAAATGTTGTAGACTGCTCCCGAGCAGATATGCCACTGGTGGCACTGATCTGTTTGTGCTAAATTGCATCTCGTCTTTGTAGTCTTATGGTCAGGAATATGATGTTTGTCTGCTGGTGATGCCCGCGATTGTACACTTCTCTGGTGATATGTGATTGCAATTCTTCTCTTTTTTAAAGAGCCCATGCTAATCTTCTCGATAAAGTTCCAATTTTAACATATGTCCCCGAGGACATCATTACAATTCTTTCTAAACGCATACCCTTCTTGGCTTTCGGACGACGATCAAGTGTAGTATTTGCAATTATCCGTTTAATATCTGTGATCGATCCATCAAACCATACGAGGTAAACAAAACTACGCCTTTTCCAAACAGAGGTTTGTGAGGGCTAAGAGAACTCTTCTGTTTTTCTTTTTTTTTGTTGCTACGACTCAGACTTACAGATTTGTCAGGTCTGCCGGAAAAAGGTGCAGTCTGTCTGCCGTCTTTCCCCAAACAAAAGTCACCTTCATTGTGACTGCATGGGACCAGAAAGATAGCTTGTTGATAGTCATCATCAAGGTCCGTTGTGTTCGGGGGAAGAGAGTAGTATCCGTTGGGATTCAGAAGCACCCTTGACTGCATCGGACCGGAAAGATAGCTTGTTGACATTCATAATCAAGGTGCGTTGTGTTCGGGGGAAGAGGGTAGTATCCCTTGGGGCTCAGGAAGCTTGTTGACAGTGATAATTGGGGTGCACCGTGTTTGTGGAAAGAGGGTAGTATTCCTTGGAACTCAGGAAGCACCCTCATTTGGACTGCATGGGACCGGAAACATAGCTTGTTGACTGTCATAATCGGGGTGTGTTGTGTTCGGGGGAAGAGGGTAGTAAGGAAGGTCACTGTTGTGGATGTTAAGAAGAAACAGAACAGAGAACAGAACGGGCAACCTCTCTTATAGACTCAAATAAGTCAGGCAGAGGGGACAAAACAAAGAATGTATGGGGAACTGTTTAATCCCAAAGTTGAACACATATACCTTGCTTCATTTCCTCCAAGGGCTGTACCTCAACATACTTTGCTTCGTTCACTCGAAGGGCTGGAGGCTATATGCCTTCTATAACAATCCCTCGAGGGCACATACCAACACGATGACTCTTTTTCTAATGAATCGGACGTCACACGCATGATGTGGTGTATGCCAGAATTTGTTGTAGAGTAGTTTGCAATCACGGTATTGGAACATTTAAAGAATCACAAGTTTTGCGAAATGTAGTGGAAATAACGTCTAGAGAAAAGAGTACCAGAAGGATTGAGGATGAGAACTGAGCATTAATGGGATAGACAAGAAATCAGAGGCGGAATTGCATGCCCAGCGCATGCGGGTGAATGGAACACTCGTGTAACTGTTCAGAAACAGGTCACGAGTTCAACTTGTGATGGAATGATATAGATACGACAAAGTCAGGGGCCAATCCCTTTATAAAAGGGAGTGGGACTCGTACGAGTACAGTGAGAGGGATTCTGCGGAAAGCAAAAGGAAAAAGGATGGTTTATGAAAACAGTGTTGTCACCCAGCCCATTAGTCTGAATTGTATAGACCTCCGACTGTTAGTGAGTAGACATTAACTCAAATCCTTGGTGGGACCAAAGTGTATATGCTAACGCTAGGGCCTACCCCCTTCAGAAAGGAAGGGGTAAAAAAGGAACAGTGTTGCAGGTGCAAGGATCGGGTATGCAAGACCGGTGGAAGGGTTCTGGATCCCTGGTTTTGGTCTACAACATAGCTTGTACTATCTGCCTGATAGTGAGACCACAGCCCCTGCTATCATAAATGTTCCCTCGCTAAAACAAACACTAATGCAACAATTGAACAGTCCGGGCTGTCCCCTGTCATGCTGGGCCACGGTTGAGATCAGATGCCTTGCGTCACCCTTTCTTTTGCGAGCGAAGGCGAGACAGGTCGTCTAGTCGAGTGACTCACGTTAGTAATGAGCTGGTTCGAACTAGGAGATAGCTTGAAAGACGGACTAGAGTGACCAACGTTATTACTATTGAGCTGGTTGGAACTAGAAAATTAGCTTAAAAGATGGCGGCCTGATTTGGAGACCTTGGTATCCGATGATTAAGTTTACAAACGACCTGGTTGATAAAATTCATAGAGATTAAGAAGGAATGCCAAAAGTTCCCAACTACAGCATAGCATGTGATTATCGGATGCGGAGACCTCAGTCCCTGAGACCATCTGTTGGCTCAGTTCGAACTAGGGATAACCGCATTGCACTTAAAGCACCAGTACATGGGCACCTGGGACGCGGGTCTGACAACTCAAATTCTGGAGGCGCGAAACGAAAACGCGACCGCCGATCGAATTTATCATCGGCGGGCCCAGCATTTGACGTTTCGGCCTCGTTTTCTTGTGGCGACAAGTTTCGGACTGCAAGGCTGGGGCCGTGTACTTGTGGTTGGAACTGCCAGTTCACCTGAAGCAGAGTGCAGCTCTCTCTGAGGTACCGGGCAAGAACTTTGGGCAGTGGGTACCGGGCAAGAACTTTGGGCAGTAGTTAAAGGGCAAGTCACTCTGTAGAGGTGCACTTGGCAGGCTCACGAGCCTTGAAAGGTAGCTTTGTCAACTTAGGCTCATGTGAACTGGTGGTTTAAATAGTCACCTGCCCCAAGAAAGGAAAGGAGAAAAAGAGGGTTTGACAATTCACTTGTAAAAGAAGAGAAAAAGGGAGTAAGGAGGATTTGCCAAAGCAGTGTCCCAGATACAAGCACATTGGAGATGCAAAGATATACGAGGCCCTGGAATTGCCGGCTCGTAGATCGTAATACTTGCTGGATTTAGAGACCTGGGGCTATCAGTGGTCTAGAACTCGGTACGCAAAAAAATACAAAGGTCTGGAATTGCCGGCTCATAGATTGCAATACCCGCTGGATTTAGAGACCTGCAGCTTGTCTATGACTTCTATTCTCCCCGGTTCTCTGGTCGTGTTCCGTCCAGTGTGAATTGCATTTTGTGTCTAGGGGGCGTTTCCGGTTGAGCTCTCCGTTTCAGCGTTGTGCGTGGAAGCTGTAACCGCTCATGTAGTGATTGAACTTGGTCGGTCTCATGTGCTGAGTGCATCCATGAAGGTTTGCTGATGGGTTCCATCAACAACGTTGGGCACCAGGTGACTGGGGGCACAGAAGCAAGTGAGCACCAGATGGGAGAGTGTAGGTGTGCAGTGTGACTTCTCCCAACCTGATCCGGTGTTGCTAACTCGTAATTTCCGCACATCAGACATGGCACACACATACACGTGGCAAGGAAAGTCTAGCAGAGACTGACAATAAAATCCGGGGAATTGGTTGATGCAGAAAGACATGTGTGCAGAATAGAACTGCTCTGGAGCTGCTGTGGTGACGCTGAATTGCACCTGCAGATATCAGATATGACAGACACATGCACCTGCTACTGTTGTCCCCTGAATAGAACGCACGGTCGTTATGGCTGTATTTGAGGCCATTTTCAGTCTAGTCAAAGCTATAATGACTGTACATTCACGGTTATTATGGCTGTATTTGAGGCCATTTTCGGTCTTTATACAGCGATGATGACTGTACGTTTTATCCAGGTGAAGGCGGTAATGAATCCCATGTGTGGCTACTGGAACTGCCTCCATGAAAACCTCCGTTGTGATAATGTACGAGCACACCAATTGAGACTTGTAAGTGATTTTAAATTTCAATAGGGATGGAGGATGTCTATTGCTCTGAGCGGGTCATTTCTGAAGCTGCAAGATTTCACGGAGCCACGTTCAGGCATCAGTGGTTTTGTGTACTTGTCGCGGTTCTTACAGTCCGTCCTGCAGTCTTTGTTATCTTCTTGATAGTGTCTGTGGCGATGGACATGATAGTGGAAATGTAGCCTTCTTGCCCACTGGTGTATAACCCATGTGGACGTTCCATTGTAATTAGTGAGGACGCATGCTCTCTCCCTCCATCCCTCTCCTCCCTCCATCTCCCTTCCTTTCTCTTTTCCTCTATTCTTGAATGGTGGAATGGTCAGCTATATTGAGACTCACTTGGTTCCTGGGTTGTGCAAAGAGCTTGGTTGTGGCCGGAGTGGCTGGGTGCAACTGGTTGGTGGCTTGCCTGAGCTTTCAAATCAGCCTGGTGAGTGTTGGTCTTAACACAGCAGACAGTTTGGCATACTTGTGGCCATTCTGGTTGGTGGCTTTCTCGACCTTTCAAACCAGACTGGTGAGGGTTGGTTTTAACACAACAGACGGTTTGGCTTACTTGTGGTCATCCTGGAGGCCCCAAAATGCCAGTTGGAGATCGTTGTGTGCATTGACTCAAAACAGGGGCACAGACAGAGGAAGTTGGGGGTGGAAACAACAAAATTTTTCAGGTATCCTCACCACATCACATAGTGAGTATTCAACGATCAAGGGCGAGGAGGACAAAAATAGGGTGTGGGAAGAGGAGGAGGGGGGNGGGGGGGGGGGGGGGGGGGGGGGGGGGGGGGGGGGGGGGGCTTGGGTTAGGAGGGAAGGAGGGGTTGTGGCATGTGATGGAGCGTTTGAGCGAAGATGAAAAACTTAGTGGACAATGTCTTGAGCTCCTGAGGTGGACAAGACTGTCGATTAGCTGGAAGGCTCTAGACCAAGGAAGATGATTCAGGGACAGATGTTTGGGGGTGCTGAATAATGGATCGAGATCCTCGGGAAGGCAAGCTGCAGCCAGGAACAGGTTGATTTTTGAGTGCTGAGCCATGGATGGAGGTGAGACTTGAAACGCTTGAAGAGGTCACGGAGGCAAAGTCTGGATCCTTTGGGGCATCTTCTCATCCGTGAATCGATTAGAGGCTTCTGAAGCAGTGTGGGAATCTGATTTGGCATTGAGTCGGTGTCTGAGCTGATTCGGCCTTGAGACAGTGCGCCT